AGATATGGGCATCAAAGAAACTCCATATGGAGTTTACTTTCTTTGTGGCAAAAGTTAGCCACTGGGCAAGAAATGCAGAAAGTCACTCACACTGTGTAGGCGGCACCAAGTGGACAGCTTTATTATTAAAGGGGGAGGGCAGAGGGAAGAGAGAGAAAGAGAGAGAGAGGGAAAGAGAGAGAGAGGGGGAAAGAGAGGAAAAGAAAGAGAAAGAGAGAGAAAAAGAGAAAGCGTAGCCTCATGTTAGGAGAGAGGGAGAGAGGGAGAAAGAAGAGAGAGAAGGCGGAGGGGTCTTTTCTTAAAGGGGACTTTACATAAGATGAGGTGGTCAGGACACTGGGCAGGTCCCCAAGGGGCGGGTCTGAATGCTAACATTCTCTAATAAAGGGCCCCTCAAATGTTCTGACACAGGACCTTGTCCTTGTCTTGGCCAATTCCATTTTTGTCCCTCTGGTCTGTTCCCTCTTGTTATTTCTCTTTCTCAGTGGATATGAAATCCCAGGAACAGGGGTGGACAGATGTCTCAGTGGTTAAGGGCACTAGCTGGCTGTTCTTACAGAGGACCCAAGATTTGATTGACAGCACCCATATGGTGGCCCACTGTCTATGACTTCAGTTCTAAGGAATCCAATCCTTCTTGTGGCCTCCATGGGCACAAGGCACACAGATGGTTCGTGGAACTACATACAGGCAAAACAGTCAGCACATAAATCAAATAATCTTTTTTAAAAAGTACATGTAGGTAAACACACTCATATATTACATTTTTTAAAAAGTCCAGGATCAGCAAGCCCTGCAGACAAGCATCTTATGCTTAGAACCAAAACTTTCCTCAAGGCCAGATGGGGAGATGAACATCTGTAATCACAGCACTCAGGAGGCTGAGGCAGGAGAGATCTGGAGAGCTGCCAGGGCTGCATAGCAAGACCCTGTTACAGAACAAAACACATCTGCCACTCAAGTATAAAAGATCCCAGCAGGAGCTGGCAGAACCAGATCTTAGACAATGATAGACCAACCCACAGCCTGGCCTGGCCAGAGCCAACACCCTCTGCAGCCATCAGTATGGGGAAGTCAGTTTTCTTCAACTACTAGGCCTACCAGCTTCCCATCCGGGCACTGAAGTAATCCTCAGCCCTCATGCAATCACTTGCCCAGGATGGTAAGGACAAAACAGGCTGCAGAAGAGCATGGAACTCACGCACACACCCTGGGATAAACAGTGATTGGGCATTTGCTTTGGGGTGGTGCTGTCTTCCTTTCCCTGTCTCAGAGGGCCCAGGGGACCAGTGCAACCTCAGACAAGAGGTCTTGGAGGACACTAAGTTATATGTGTTTGGGTTTGGGGTGGTGCTGACCCTGCTTCCAGGTCCAGCTTCTCAGTGAATTCAAAGAGCATGCGACATTTTACCAATATAATGTATATTAAATACATCTTTGCACATAAACACACACATATATACACTGATTGAATGAAAACAATGAGGACATGACTACATCTAGGTACAGTTGAGGAGAAAGTTTATTGTAGATATGAGGGAGAAAACAGCCAGAGGCATCTGAAAGGGTCCACACTGAACTGGGCCAGCAGAATAAACTGGACCATAAGGTGGGGTGGTGGGAGCGGAAGAGCGAGGAACCAGGAACCGAGAGGCCAGGAGACCAAGAGGTCCAAGAGAGCAAGAGGACACATAGCCAAAATGGCTGGTTCTGTAGAGAAGAGAGGCTGGGGGAAGAGAGGTGGAGCCCATGGGCTGGAGAGGTTGAGGGTAGGGGAGCTCTGGAACAGGTTTTGGTGATGCTGAGAGACACTGGTGGCCAGTATCCAATCCACTCTGATATATATATATCTATATATATATCTATATATAGATATATATAGATATATATATATATATATATATAATATATATATACATACATACATACACACACACACACACACACACACACACACACACACACACACACACACACACACACACCTCAGTTATCCATCTGTCCTGGGTTTCTTTGAGACCTAATCCTTATTTCTGAAAAAGCAAGGGTCGGTGGCTGGATCTCAGGAGTAGACCAATTTCGTTGCATGACTGAGGTAGTGTGGGCTCTAGCCTCAACTTTGTAAGAATTAGATTAACTAGTTACGGCATGGTGATAAGTGACACTTTTAATCTCAGCGCTCATGAGGCAGAGGCAGGAGGATCTCTGAGTTAGAGACCAGCCTGGTTTACATAGAGAAGCTAGGATGGTGAGATCATGTCTTAAAAAAAAGTTAAATAAAAGCAAGCATTAGTGCTTAATAAAGGTTTGATTTTCCACCAAGGGGTTGCAGTGGGGAAGCAAACCTCTGGATATTTCCCATCTAGAGTCTACATGAGTATTTCAATCTCTTGTGAAAAGTTGGTCTTATTACTTTTATGGGGGGAGGGAGTCTAGGCTACCTGTTTAGTCATACTGAGCTGATGACAGAGTCTCACTACCTAGTTCAGATTGGCCTCCAACTAAAAGCAATCCTCTTGCCTCAGCCTCTTGTGTGCTTATTACAGGCATGTGCCTGTACCGAATTTGCCTATTTATAGTTATTTCTTCCTATCATGAAGCTGAATGAAAGACAAAAAGAAATAAAAAGGAGGACATGGCTGTTTCTAGGTATGGTGGAGGGAAAGTTTATTGTAGATTAAAGGGAGACATAGTCATAGGCAGAGACATCTGGGAGAGTACAGAGTGGACAGGACCCTGAGCCAGGCTATGTAAGGAGAGCGGGGAGGTGTGGTGGTTTGAAAGAAAATGTCTTTTAAAGGAAGTGGCACTATTAGGAGGTGTGGCCTTGTTGGAGTAGGTGTGGTCTTGTTGGAGGAAGTGTGTCACTATGGAGCCAGGCTTTGTGGTCTTATGTATGCTCAAGCCACACCCAGTGAGACAGTCTACTTCCTGTTGCCGGCTACATGTAGCGGCTCCTCTCCAGCACTATGCCTCCCTGCCCACTGCCATGCTACCTGCCCTGATGATAGATGATGAGACTGAACCACAGAGACTGTGAGCCACCACCTCAATTAAATGTTTTCCTTTATAAGAGTTGTTGTGGTCATGGCGTCTCTTCACAGCAATAGAAACCCTAACTCCGACAGATTGGGAGGGAGGAGAGCCGGGAGAGTAAAGGGTAGATGAATAAAAGGCCTGGGTAACCAAAATGGCGGGTTATTATAGGGACAGGCAGTCCAGCCCCTGGACTGGAGAAGTTTAGGGTATGAAGAACCAGCCTTAAAAGCCGTTTTTTAGTAAAGACAAACTAGGCTCATTCATGTTTATGATTAAGCCTGTTTCTCAAAGATTCGGCTATGACGCACCTGTAACCTCAACTACAAAAGGTTCTATACTGTATGTTCCAGGAATGGCAATCATGTCTTTGTTTCAAAACGTTGTTTATAATCATCTCACAACCCTACCTTTGTTTCTAAAGGTTGTTATGACTACCTGTTGTTATGCCCCACCTTACAACCATGTCTTTGTTTTAAGAGGTCCTTAGGACTAACTTGTTATGAGTTTCTACTCCTTCAGCCCTGCCTATTTTGCCTACCAAATCCCCCATTTGGAAACTCCCTACCTCTGAGCCTTAAAAGCCTTGTCTTCCTCACATCCATGGCTGACCACTCAAACCCCACCTTAGGGGGAGGTAGCCAGTGTACACAGATAAAAACGCTTGCTTTGATTAATTGCTTGCTTGAATTAATTTGACCATGATGATTTGGGTCTTTCTCTTCCCATCTTTGGGATTAACAGGTAGGGAGCATGGTATATTAGCCATACCCTGTGGTCAGTCCCAGATAGGGGACTGAGAAATGCTGGGAGAACCCGGCTGCCAGGTCGACTTTGGTATGTTAAATAGATACTTCACCCATTTGTTCTAGGTTTGAGACCTAACAGAAGCTTTATTTTGTGAGGGGCTTAGGCTGTAGCTGTGGCTGGATGCTTACCTAGCACATATAACACCCTGGGTTTAGTTTTGGATTCACTGCTATAAGTGAACTTATTTTTATGACATTTATTTATGCATTGTGTGTGTTTGAGTAAGCACGTGTGGCGAGGTGCTTACAATTTTGGGAAGTCAGTTCTCTCTTTCCACCATGTGAGATCAGGGAATTGAACTCAGGTCCTCAGACTCAGCGGCAAGCACCTTTACCTGCTGAACCATCTTGTCATCCCCAAATTTTAGAACCAATATGCAGGGCTGGAAGTGGATCTGCTATTGCAACAATGGGCAAGTGTAGCAGGAAATCAAAAGTTCAAGGTCGCCGGGCGGTGGGTGGCGCACGCCTTTAATCCCAGCACTCGGGAGGCAGAGGCAGGCGGATCTCTGTGAGTTCGAGGCCAGCCTGGGCTACCAAGTGAGTTCCAGGACAGGCGCAAAGCTACACAGAGAAACCCTGTCTCAAAAAAAAAAAAAAAAAGTTCAAGGTCATCCTTGGAATATGAGACCCTGTCTGGAAAATCAAAACAAAAATAAAAACCAACCGTGCAGCACTGAAACCAAAGTAGAGAACTTTAGACAATTCAAAAAGGTTAAAACATGCTTTATTAGTCATGTGTGAAAAGACAAAATAACTTTCCGGAACATTTTTCTGAGAGTCCTAGAGAGGAACTACCGAAAGAGATACACTTCCGGTAAATGTGCCACTTCCGGACGAGGCCACTCATTTGGTGGCTCCCGGGCAGACCGGAAGTCTGTCACCCCTCCCGGCCCGCCTATTTCCGGAAGTGACGTGCAGCGGGGTTGCCGGAAGAAGTGGCGAAGTTACTTTTGCTTTGCGCTCAGCCTGTGTTGTTGCTCCGAGCTACTCCCAGGCTTCTGAAGTTACTTCCGAAGTGCTGAGGGGAGCAACTGTGGGTGCGGACACCGAGGCAAGTGCGCAGGGGGCGGCGGAGCGGGTGGGGCCGGGCCGGGTGCGCGGGCCGCCGCGGGTCCCGCTCAGCGCGCGCCTCCTTCCCTCTCTCTGCCGCAGCTCCCGCCTTCCGAGGCCGTTTCCAGGGCAACGGAGTTGGCGACCCCCACGCCCCACCACCTCAAGACCGCCGGTGCAGTCATGAGCCCCCGCCTCCCCCTGGTGCTCGGAGAGGGGCGGGGTTTGGAGTGAGGTGGGCGTGGCTCCAGGGGGCGGGCATGGTGTAGGGGAAGCATATGATTGGTGAGCGGGACACAAATGAGGCGGGGCATGGTGTAGCTGAAGTCTGAAGGTTCTTGAGCGGTGGTGGTTCCTCTTTGGGGTGGGGCCTGGATCATCGCGGGGGTGGGGGGGACGACTTAGGGGGTGTAGAGAGGGCATGGATAGGGAAAGTATGATTGGAGAATGGGGGCGTGGCCTGAACACTAATGGGGGCGTGGCATTGGGAAGTTGGTTGGCTGATAGGAGGCGGCCCGTGGAATAGTGGAAGCCTAAGGGGAGGGCCTAGAGTTAAGTGGGTGGAGCTTGGAGGCAGGCGCATGGAGGGCGTGACATATGAAAGCCTATGATTGGCTTCTGAGGAATGGTATGGGCGGGACCTAGACAGGAGCCGGGAAAACTCTGGGTATGTGACCAAGAGTGGGAAGGGAGGGCCAAGGGACCTGATGGGAGGGGTAAGATCTGGGGTCTGTATTGGGGCAAAACCTTGAAGAAACCTATGGTAGGAGGGTATGGGTTGTGGCCTGATGGGAGGGGCTGGTCAAAGTTAGAGTTGCTTATGATAGCGCAGTGGGTGCACATAGAAGAAGAATTTGAGAATTGTTGGGCTCTCTTAGTGTTAAAGCAGTGGAAACTGTCAGGGGAGGTCATGATTCATAGAGAGGAGGAGGGAGCAGTGGGCTGGGCTAGAGCTGAAGTGGGCAGGCATTGTTGAAATCGGCCGGATGTTTGTAAGGGACTAGAATTGGGAGTATATATAGAAGTAAAAACACTGAGGTGTGGTGGCACAGCCCTCTAATGCCAGCACTTGATAGGCTGAGGCAGGAGTGCCGAATATCCCAAGACTGTAGGGTAATGAGTTCCAGGATGTGGCAGGCAGAGGCCGGAGATGTTCAGGCCACATAGTTCGGTTAGCCTGGGCTGCATGAGATCATATCACAAAAGAGTCCTGCGTGTTGGAAGGAGAAGCACCCTTATCATGACCTGTAATTGGCTGGGTTCCCTGCGTCCAACAGGCTGCTTCGTGACCCACCATGTCTTCCTCCACAAGTTCTCTGGATACACCAGTGCCTGGTGAGTGACCCACTTCCCCTTCAGGGCCCCTCCCACGGTGCCAGAGAAGCTCACTGTCCCTCTTCCTTCTAGGGAATGGTTCCCCTCAGCCCAGTACCTCCTCCGCTTCGCCCACCATCAAGGAGGAAGGGCAGGAGACTGATGCCCCTCCAGGCCCCGAAGGGTCCAGCTCTGCCTACATCGTAGGTGAGACAGGGAGACAGGTGGGCCTTTCCTTCCTTTCCCTTTGACTCCTCGGGCTCATTCTTGGGGACCTACCGACTGTCTGTCTTCCCCTTGGTGTTGCAGCCCTGTCCTCACACCCTCACTTCGGGACCTCCCATGGCCTGTCCCCAGGCTGCTGTCTCTCTTTGTCACTCTCTCTCTCATGGCCTCTGCTCACCCCAAGTCATCTTAGAGCCAGAGGATGAGCCGGAGCGCAAGCGGAAGAAGGGTCCGGCCCCGAAGATGCTGGGCCACGAGCTGTGCCGCGTGTGTGGGGACAAGGCATCGGGCTTCCACTACAATGTGCTCAGTTGCGAAGGCTGCAAAGGTTTCTTCAGGCGCAGCGTGGTCCATGGCGGGGCCGGGCGCTATGCCTGTCGGGGCAGTGGAACCTGCCAGATGGATGCCTTCATGCGGCGCAAGTGCCAGCTCTGTCGTCTGCGCAAATGCAAGGAGGCTGGCATGCGGGAGCAGTGTGAGTTCAGGGAAGGGGAAGAAGGGGTCATCTTGGGAGGGGAGGAGTAAGTGAAGGTGGGGTACACCACTGAGGCTGGCTGTCCTGCAGGCGTGCTTTCTGAGGAGCAGATTCGGAAGAAAAAGATTCAGAAGCAGCAGCAACAGCAGCAGCCGCCACCCGCGACTGAGCCAGCATCCAGTGGCACAGCCCGGCCTATAGCCTCCCCTGGCACTTCCGAAGTGAGTGGCGCTGGGGACGGCGAAGGTGTCCAGCTGACGGCCGCACAAGAGCTGATGATCCAGCAGTTGGTTGCCGCACAGCTGCAGTGCAACAAACGTTCCTTCTCCGACCAGCCCAAAGTCACGGTACTGCCTTGCGCAGCCCAGCGGGCAGAGCCCCCTTGGCCGGGGAGGGTTTTGCAGGGCATGCAAAAGAGTCCCTTGTGACCCTGGTCTCCTGTCCCAGCCTTGGCCCTTGGGTGCAGACCCTCAGTCCCGGGATGCTCGCCAGCAGCGCTTTGCCCACTTCACCGAGCTGGCCATCATCTCAGTCCAGGAGATTGTGGACTTTGCCAAGCAGGTGCCAGGGTTCCTGCAGCTGGGCCGGGAGGACCAGATCGCCCTCCTGAAGGCATCCACCATTGAGGTAATGGCCAGGCTTTAGGACAGAGACCAGAGCTGGATGTCGTGCAAGTCGGTCCTAACCCTTGTGGGGTGTGGTCAGCAGGTGTACTGGAAGTCCTAACGAGATAGCCAGAGCGGCCAGTGAGCCAGCCGGGAGAAAAGGGAAATGGGCTGAGGTAGAAAATGATGAGGATGAGGTTAGATGGACTGCTAAAGAGGAAATATTCCCCCGAGACTTTTCAAAGGAATGGCTATTTGAGCTGAAGCGAGGACAGTGAGGAAGTATTGAGTGTCGACTGTATGCAAAGCTGTGTTCTAAGCGTCAAAACGCTAGCTGGTGCCTCGTAATTATGTGGGGCAAGTGTCCTTGGATGGGGCAGTGGGTGGCAGAGTTGGCCTGGCAGAGGGGTGGCAGGCAGTTGGTCTTAGCACATGTGACTTGGGGGCAGCTGAAGAGCCCTGTACCTTGTCATCTTCAGATCATGTTGCTGGAGACAGCCAGACGCTATAACCACGAGACAGAGTGCATCACGTTCCTGAAGGACTTCACCTACAGCAAGGATGACTTCCACCGCGCAGGTTTGTGGAGGGCACTGGCGCAGGGTCCTGGTGTTTCTGCCCCATTGGACCTCCAGGTTGGGCACTGGCAAGACCATGGTCGTCAAAGCCAGATGCATGGGGAAGCCTTGGCTGTCACCTGGCACTCTGGTAGGAAATCGGGAAGAAGCACCCACTCCTAAGGCTGACTCATGGGGCTCTGTCCTGGGGAGCTCACCTGGCTGTCTGCCTGGGAGTAAGACATTTGGGCCGAGGATGGGACAGCGTGCCATTGCCCATTGCCACCCAGTTTGAACAGTCTTGCTCACTCAGCTTTGGGCTTCCCATCACTTCTCCCCAGGATGACTTTCAGTATCCTTAGGCATCCACTTCCAACCCTGTCTTTCTTCTCTAGGCTCCAGCCCTTCCACTATACAAGAAAGTCCTAGGATTCTTCCGGTGCGAGCTTAGCAGGGCAGGTGTTGGGGGGAAAGAATTTGCCCTAAGGCTCCTAGGGCAAAGGCCCTGTAGCCAGGCTTGAAGTAACCATATGGAGCCCCAGGCAGTCAGGCCTAGGAAGATAGGACTGGAAAGACACTAGGCATCCCACCCCCAGCTCTTGCACTGCTTGGCCCCAGGCTCAGCCACTCCTGCCTGGGTCCTCACAAGGACTGGTGGTTCTCTGCTCCTACTCTCCCAACTTGTCTGTCCTTACAGCCGTCCAGGGAGCTCCCATCAGCCCATACTCCCTCTGCTAGGACAGGACCTGACCTCCATCCTCCTTTGCCTTGGTCCATCCTCTCTCCCAGGCACTGGCTACCTTGCTCTGAATTTGCCCATCAGCACAGTCCAGCATCAGGACTTAGCATTCACTATCCCAGGGCAGCCTAGAATTTGTTATCCTTTACAGAGAAGGGGTGCGTTGTGTTGGGTTGTAAATCATTCTCCTCCAAGGCCTGGCACACAGTAGGTGCACTTAATAATAGTTACGAGTAAGTCATAGCATAGCTGAGTCTGAGCAGTGGGAGTACCTAGGGGTTTACAGTGTGGCCTAGCCTGCCTCCTTCCCCTCTGCCTCCATGAGGACAGATCTGGGACCTGAGAGGATGTGACCTTCCAGGGTCTGTGGGAGGGAAAGGGTGTGGGTGCTGTCTTGGTGGTATGTAACAGACACTCACAGGGTCCGCACTGGGAGGGAGCAAGAGTAACTGTCCCTGGCTGTTTTCCCCATCTGAATACCCGGGACTAGGGTCAGGGTGTAAAGCTGGTTTGGGACCGCTACTCTTGCAGGCTTGCAGGTGGAGTTCATCAATCCCATCTTCGAGTTTTCTCGGGCCATGCGCCGGCTGGGCCTGGACGATGCAGAGTATGCCCTGCTCATTGCCATCAACATCTTCTCAGCGGACCGTCCCAACGTGCAGGAGCCCAGCCGTGTGGAGGCGCTGCAGCAGCCCTACGTGGAGGCGCTCCTCTCCTACACTCGCATCAAGCGGCCGCAGGTATGGGAGCTGCCATCCCTAGCGGGCAGGCTTGGTGCTGGGGTTAGGTGGTACACGTTGGGGCATGCTGAGCCCGGGGTCTGCCTTTCTCCTCAGATCCTAGTCTCAGTCAGCCACATTTTGCTGTTAGGAGGTCAGAGAAGACCCAGCCTCTGGGTCGGGTTCGAGGTTGGTCTGACCTCACGGTACTGGCTTTCTAGACGCAGCGGGCCTCCCCAGCAGCACCTACCTGCCTCTTTTTTCCCTGTAGGACCAGCTCCGGTTCCCACGCATGCTCATGAAGCTGGTGAGCCTGCGCACCCTGAGCTCTGTGCACTCGGAGCAGGTCTTTGCATTGCGGCTCCAGGACAAGAAGCTGCCGCCTTTGCTGTCTGAGATCTGGGATGTACATGAGTAGGGGCCGCCATGAGTGCCCCAGCTTGGTGGCATCTTCTTGCAGATGGACGCTTTGCCTTTCCTCATGGGGTGGGAGGACATGGTCATGGCCCAGCTCTGAGGGGCTCAGCCTCAAGCCCAGTGGCAGTTGGCATCAGGAGGCCCCTCCCCACCCACCGAGTCTTCCAGGAGGGGTGAGGGTCACAGGTCTTAGCCTTTGGCCTTCCCAGCTGCCCTCCCACCCAGCTTACACCTCAGCCTACCACGCCATGCACCTTGACTGGAGAGGTGAGGGCTGGTGTCTCCCCACAGTTGGGAGACCACAGGTCCCCTCTTCTGCCCCTTTTATTTAATAAAAACAAAATCAAAAACAAGGAAATAAAGTCTGAGTACAAGCCAGCCCTGAGCCCAGTGTGAGAAGTGGGAGGGGTGGGCCACCTCCTTGCCCAGGTGACTCCTTGCTCTTGGTCTAGGTTCAGACCACGGGGTGGGGGTGGGGTGCAAATGAGGACAAGGTGTCCTTACACAGCATAGTTCGGGCTCTGGAGGCCAGAGGGCAAGGTGGGTGGAGCTGTAGGGAAGGGAGAGGAGCTGTATGGGGAAGGTGTGGAGAGGACACTGGCTAGGGGCAGGTTCCCAAAGTTGGCAACTGAGTTGGCCTTGAGTGTCATAAGCAAGTCAGGAAGGGATTTGTGGGGCAACAGAAGTAAGTTAATAGGCGATCCAGGGTCATGCAAGAGCACTTGGGGAAACTGAGAAAGAGAGCCTTTTCTAGCAAAGGCAGGAGGAGGTAGGCAGGCAGCAGGGTAGCACCCACCGTGGCAGTCTTCCCGCGTCTCTGCAGGGAGCGCTCGGGAACCGCAGGTCTGGCGCGCAGACGGCGCCAGGTCGCTGGGGGCGGGTCCTCGGGCCATAGCGTCACGAGGGGCGGGGCCACCTGTAGGGGGCGGGGTTGTGGGATCCGCTAGGGAGAGGGGTGTGCTTTGCCCGCCCTAGCGGGCTAGGGGCGGGGCCCAGCGGGCGCGCCGTAGCTCTGGGCCTGCGCGCATAGGGTTCAGGGGTCACGGCGGCGTATTTTGTGGCGGGAAAAGCTGTTTGATGCGGGTGAGTAAGGAAGAAGGGAATGGGGCGCTCGGTCGGTCAGCGGAGGGCTCGAGCGGAGGGTTCGCTGACTATCTGCAGCCGCGGGCAGGACAGAGCAGGGCTGGCGGCTCCGGGGGATCCCTGGAGCTGAGGAGCCGGGGCGCGTGGGACTGTCCCGGGTGTTGGCTCCTGGGTGTGCGCGCAAGCCCGGCCTTAGAGGTGCGGGAGCTGCGGGGCACCGCTGTTCTAGAAGCTAGGCGACAGCATCAGGAAGTCCAAAAAGAAGTAGGAATGGGCGGGGCGTGGTGACCCACGCCTTTTATCCCCTCACTAGGGAGCAGAGGCAGATGTATCTCCGAGTTCAAGGCCAGCCTGGTCTACAGAGTGAGTTCCAGGATAGCCAGGGCTACACAGAGAAACCCTGTCTCGAAAAAACCAAATAATAACAACAACAACAACAATAATAAAAGGAATGGGAGAAAAAGCAATGCCTCGGAGCTGGAATGCCTGCCTTTCTTATATTTAGTGCGTGCGTATGTGCCATGGTGCCCACGTGGAGATCTGAGGGCAACTTTATGGAGTTACTCTCATTCCACCATATGAGTTCCCCATGATCAAACTCAGGCTGTTAGGCAAGCGCCATTATCCATTATCTCCGTTGTCTCACTGGGTCCCATGTGATGCTTTATATAATAATAATAATTTTAAAAAAAGCCAATTGATACTGGGCGGTGGTGGTGCACGCCTTTAATCCCAGCACTCCGGAGGCAGAGCCAGGTGGATCTCTGTGAGTTCGAGGCCAGCCTGGTCTACAGAGCGAGTTCCAGGACACGCTCCAAAAGCTACAGATAAACCCAGTCTCGAAACCTCCTCCTCCCAAAAAATTAATAAAAATAAAAATAAAAAGCCAACTGATTTTGGGTGGGGGCAGCCTGCTTACCCAGTCTGGTGTTTGTTGGGGGAGCTGAGACACAGCCCCAGAGCAGCATCACTAGAGGGGCCCAGAGGAGGAACCAGGCCTGAAGCTAGCGGTGTGTGAGATGTCCTGGGGGAAATGAGCAGTTACTGTGTTAGTGTACCGCAGTGTGGTGGGAGCCAAGACCCACCTGCACTGCAGGCTGATGCAGCTTCAGAGAGCATCCCGTGAGTGGGTGGGGTTTGCATCTGTGGCAAATATGTCCTGAGGGGAAGGGGAAAGTTGTGTCTCCAAGGTGGTTGTCAGGGGAGCATCCCTGCCCAGAATAAGGGAAGACTGAGATGACAGAAGCAGTTCGTGGGAATGGGAGATTCTTGAGTGCCAGCCCTCCAGGGGAGGCTCAGGAGTACTTGGATCTGGCAACCCTGGGAGAAGTGAATTGAAACGTAAACAATTATTCAGCTTCTGGAGACAGGAGGATGGCAAGTTCTGGTACTGTCAGGGCAACTTAGTCGGATCTTGTCTCAAATTGAATAGAAAGAGGCCTGGGGATGTAGTTCAGTTGTACAGCCTAGAATCCCCCAATGAGGGATGTGTGACTCGTGGTAGAGCCCTGCTGTGTTACATTCCACAGACCACACATGCTCTATAGCTCAGGCTGGCTTTGAATTTGCCCTGAGGTCTACAGCTTGGATTATGGTAACACCAGACCCAGTGTCGGGGAGTATGTAGTGAGTGACATATGGGCAAAGCTGTTCCTTATAACATCAGCTTCCCACTCTGTTCCCGGAAGGCCAGCCCCACTGCTTCCCCATCCCTGTCTAGAAGTGTGTCTGCACTTACCTCGCCTGGTGAGAGAGGTACACTCATTTCCTGTGCATTGCAGAGCCATGTCCCCCACTTTGGGGTCCGGGATCCTCAGGAGTGCCCAGGGGCTTCTTTTGAACAACATATGAGCCTGTCTTTTCGGTTGAACTTCACCATCAGCACTCCAGGCAGAGAGAGCCCCCTAAGAGCAGCCAGCTCAGCATGGGATAGTGCAGGCAGTTCCTAACAGGAAGTCCGTAGCCGCAGCTGCCTGCCTTTCCCGGGACTGTTTCGGGGCTTCTTCTATACTTTGGGGCCGGACATGGCATCCTCAGCCCTTTTTCCAGATCCACTCCCCACCTTTTTAAAATCTGATTTTGCAATAATTCGTGGGGCTAAGCTTGAACTCCTGATCCTCCTCAGCTTCTCAGGTAGCTGTAGGTTAATCATTTCCTTAGATGTCTTTGTCTTTTTTAAATAGAAAACAAAAGCAGAAGCACACCATCCCACACCTTGACTTACCTACTAGAGACAAAGCCTCTTTGAGAAATTTTCTATCACCATATGGCTTCCTCATTCCTTTATACAGCTGCATAGTACTCCATTGAATGATACTAACGGATTCTATTGAAACTGTCCCCCTGGGGAAGACATTTAGGTGGTTTCCAGTACTTAGGGATTTTAAACAATGGTACCGGAAATAACCTTGTAAAAGCAGGTTCTTCATATGACCCAACCTATTAGGGTCAGGTCTCATATGTGGAACTGCTTGCAACCTTTTCTTTTTTGACTGAGGTGTGATTTAGTCAACTGTACAGGTGTGCGGAAGGCAAACATCTTCCAGAACATTCCTTAATACGTCCTCAGATCCCATCGGTCTCCTCACTCTGGAAGCAGGCTGTTCTCAGGACTTATTTTGCCCAAGAACTTTTTAAGATTGATTTATTTATACTTTGAGTGTTTGCTTGTGTATACATATGTGCACAACGTGCATGCAGTATCTGCAGAGGGAGGCCCTTGCTGCCAGATCCTCTGGAACTGGAGTTACTGATGGCTGTGAGCTGGGTGCTGGGAACTGAGCCCAGGTCCTCTGCAAGAGCAGCCCATGCTCTTGACCTCTGAGCCATTGCTCCAGCCCCTAAGAATTTTCTTTTAAGGTTTATTTTATTTTTAGTTGTTTGTGTGTGTGCAGCTCCCCTGAGGCCAGAAGAGGGTGGCAGAGCCCTGGAGCTGGTGTTAAAGAGTTGTGTGGCGGTGCTGGGAACAGAACCAATTTTTTATTGTATTACAGTTGCCCTCCCCTCCCTTGTCCCACCAGGTCTCCCTCTGCTTTCATACACCCTCCCCCACAGAACAAGCCTTGAATTTTATTACTTTTTTTTTTTTTTTTTTTTTTTTGTGGTTTTTTCGAGACAGGGTTTCTCTGTGTAGCTTTGCACCTTTCCTGGAACTCGCTCTGTAGACCAGGCTGGCCTCGAACTCACAGAGATCCGCCTGCCTCTGCCTCCCGAGTGCTGGGATTAAAGGTGTGCGCCACCACCGCCTGGCTGAATTTTTTTACTTACAAGAAGTTTTATGTTCTTTTTTTCACTGTGGATGTGCCTTCCACACATTCACAGTGACTTTCTGTTCCTCCGTAAGGAAAGTATGCTGGTCTTGTCACAGGCACAGCACACATGGGGCCCTTGCAGCTCTGCTGACGTGTTTTTGTTTTGTTGAGTATCATAAGAACTTTAGGTCTCTGGCCGGACAGTGGTGGTGCACCCTTTTAATCCTAACATTCAGGAGGCAGAGGCAGGCAGATCTCCGAGTCTGAGGCCAGACTGGTCCACAGGGCGAGTTCCAAGATAGCCAGGGCAGTGGGGATGCTGTCTTTGTCTTCCGTAGTTGAACCGAGATGGTGACTCCGTACATGCGCTGGTGGTGTTGCAGCAGGCAAAGTGGGCAGCTTGTGCGTTTGCAGCGAAGGCCGCCACTGCCAGGAATACTGGGTTCATTGCTTGTTTGATTCTGAATTGGCTTTGGGGTGTTAACTGTTGATGAGTTTTTCACAGTCCCCGAATTCACTTGGGGTTGTAGCCCACGGTGTGAACAGCTTTGCTCTGGGTGCCTGCGTGTGTTCTGCACTGTTGTGTAAGTGGTAGTATGGACTTTCCTTTTGCATTGGCATGAAGTTGAGCATCTTGAAACAAACAGCTCAGCCCTATTGAGTATATTTAGTATGTTGTAGAGCATCATCCCTGTCTAGTTCTAGGACATTCCATTACCCCAAAAGGAAACCCCATTCCCACCAAATGTCCACAGCCCCTCACTGGGCTTCTAGGCAAGTGTTCTACCACTGAACCATGTCCCCAGCTCTCTCTCTCTCTCTCTCTCTCTCTCTCTCTCTCTCTCTCTCTCTCTCTCTCTCTCTCTCTTTGCTGTGTGTATGTGTTTGGTTTGTTTGTTTGCTTGCTTTGAGACAAGGTCTGACTAGCCCCTGATTTGCTTGGAACTCACTATGTTGACCTGGTTGGTCTTGAACTCACAGAGATTTGCTCACCTCTGCATCCTAAGTGTTGGGATTAAAAGTGAGTGCTGCCGGGCGGTGGTG